GATGCAGTTATTCAGTTCAGCCGTTCTCCTCCAACTCCGTCAGCATCTTTAAGTTGTTTGATCTCCAAGTTAAATGCTGTACATTAAACTTAATAAAACAAGTTTATTGTACTACATTCTATTGTTCAGTATTGTGTTTTTATACAATATTCGTTATTTTTAAATACATTTTTCTTGTTTAAAAACATTTAACAAAACAATTGCGGTGTTTTTTGGGTGTCCGGAATGGATTAATGGCATTACAATTCATTGTAATGGTGAAAATTGATTTGACATACGAGTAATTTGAGTTACAAGCTCCATCACGGAACGAATTAAACTAGTAAATCAAGGCACCACTGTATCTGTGTCTGGCACGCTGATCTCTTAGAAATGCCAGGGAGAGTCCATTATCTCATCACACGTCTGCATGTGTCCGATCCTGGGCTCTCTCCGACCTAAGAGATTCAACTTGTTGTCAAGATCTTTGCCATAACCAGGAAGAACACTGCCTGCATGCTCCCACTTCCCTTCCCTCTCCTTACGAAAGCCACCAGTTTGACTAGAGATGCGGAGCTCATTTTTTGGTCAGGAATTGGCCATCTTCTCAGGAAGCCAGCACCTGAACAACCCCTCTCCTTTTACCAAAACCTGTTTCATGAGTATTGGCTTTCATCACGGCAGGCAGCCAAACCTGCCTTTGGTAGCACTAGGAGTCTACAGATGATAGAGTCTGTGCCTGAACCACCTCAGATTCTGTCACATTTGAACACATTTTTTGTGTATGATAAGGTAGCAAACATTGTACACATTTTCTGTGTATGATAAGGTAGCAAATGTTGTATGAATTACTTATAGTCTCAAAATCAGATTCACAAAAGAGTTCATTCCACCATTGTGCCTCCAGTTACTAAGGATAATGCCCAATATGGACAAAAGACTTTTGGTTTCATTTCTCATTCTTATCTCAATTCTGGGAAATGCTTGTTTTTGTGAGGAGTGTTTGCTAAGAATAAATGTTGTGAAAGGCCACAGCCAGCATGGCTTTTTGGGTTCAAAGGCTTGGAGAAAGAGCTGATGTGCAAATTGACACAGAAAACAAGAAATATTAGTTTGGAATTATGGGGGGAAGCCAGGGAAAGCTTAACTGTAGTAATCAAGTTCCACTGAGCATCTGTTCCATGCTGCTTTTATTTACTAGAATACACAATGCCTTTTAGGAATGCAAACAGACATAGCAATGGTAATGTTTAGTAAACAGTAAGATTAGCAGGTTTTGGGGGAGTTTGCTTTAGGCCATTGAATCAGCAGTAGGTAATAAAATGCAAATATTCACGTTGTGAATATCAAAGCCCAAACTCAGCCTTCTGGGGGACTTGTCACATTTATATTAATTACTGTTGATCTTGGTTTCCAGCAAAATGTCCTTTCCCTAGCAAATTTGGCTCAGTGGATATTGCCTCAGCCTGAAGAATGAAGGCTATCGGCTCTCAGACTGAAGGGTCCCTATTCCAGTTCTATTCTAGTCAAGGGCACATGCCAGGGTTGCAGGCTTGATCCCCAGTAGGGGGTATGCAGGAGGCAACCAATCTCTCATTATTGACGTTCCTATCTGTCTCTTTCTCTTTGAAATCAAT